ATTAAACAACAACAAAACATTTAAATATACAGAATGTCAAATTGGTTAATTTTTGTGTAGAAGAGGAAAGCAGGGAAGGGCAACAAGGATGTGTGTATGTTTTACTTTGAAAAGGCCTGGCTGTAAAGAATATATTTGAGCAAAGACCTGAAGAAGGCAGGGACCCTTTGCTGTGTTTATTTCTGAGGGAGTAACATATATGCAGAAGAACCAGCAAGTACAAAAGTCCTGAAAACAGGATTGTACCAGACACAATAGAGAAACAGCAAGGATGCTAGTGTGGCTAGGAACAGAATGAGCCTGGAAGAGAAAAGTAAGATTAGGTTAGAGAGGGGGATAATGACACAGGGCGGATGCTTGGTTTAAAGAAAGTGTAGCAGAGACCCCATTACCCACGATAGGAGCTTTGGTAGCAAAGAAGTTGTTCCAGCCGTTGAGTCACTTCTGACTTATGGTGACCCAGTGTACAACAGAATGAAGCATTGCTCAGTCCTGTACCATCTTCATTGCTATGTTTGAGCCACTTTTGCAGCCATTGTGTCAGTCCATCGATCGTATAGAGGATTTTCTCTTTTTTGCTGACCCTCTACCAAACATGATGCTTTTTCCAGGGACATGATAACATGTCCAAAGTTTGTGAGACAAAGTCTTGCCATCCTCACTTCCAAGGAGCATTCTAGAGAATGCTAAAGAAATTCAGTGAACTCTTTGAGGAAAATGTCATTTCTGCTGGGGTGCTTCTCCCTCCACTCCTGACTCACCATTGCTTGTTCCCCCCTAGGAGTAAGTCATTCAGGAAGCTGTACCACTGCCTTGGCTTTTTTTCCCTGCCTTGACTTTTAAAGACACTGGAAGGACACCCATGAAACCAGTTCATCAGCATAAATTACTCTAACCAGCCACAGCGTACAATCCCTGGAGAGGATGTTTGCTGACTTGATGAGAGGCACAAAGAAGAAGAACCTGAAAGTGAAGGGATTGGTTAGGATGCCTGTTAAGACTCTGAAACTTACTATAAGAAAAACTCCTGTGGTGAAGGTTCTACGACCTGGATCATTTCTAGATGAGAATCCTCAGCAACTTTTCAACTTTCATACCTCTGTTATCGTTGAGCAGAACACTTTCATTAGTATTGAGCCTAGAGATGCAAATGCTAAATCAACTATTTTAATAAATTGATTATAGGCTAAAAAAGTGAACTGAATTTTTTTAATATCTATAATTTAATTTATTTCACATATATTTACAGTTGCAGATTGCTACTATAGTAATGGAGGAAAAAAATGATATTGATATGGATTAGACAGATGGGCTAGTGAATAGTGGAAAGTGGGCAGGGTTGAGAAAATATTAGGAGATACAGAATATCCAGGACATGGTGGTGTGTTTTGAGTAGAGTTAGGGTGAGGCAGAGAGGGTGCTAAAGAGTTCATATTTGTGCACCTAGAAAGATGATGGTGCCATTCAGTTAGATGAGGATGACTAGAAGACCAGTTTGGGGTGAGTGGAAATGATGTTAGTTTTGGTCATACTGGCCTTGAACTGCTTTTGATCCTTTAAATGGAAAATTCTGGTAGGCAGTTGGAATCTGGATCGCTGAGGAAAGGTCTGGGGTGAAGAGAATTTTATTTATAATTTGTTATCAGCATAGAAAGCTGACAAAAAACTTTCTGAAATAGATTGCTGATAGGTTTATTAATGTAAAATTGCATCTTTAACAAAGGCTAAGCAAAGAAAAAGGTCTTGTTACTGTAAGAGTTTGTAATGTGGGGGAGCATGAGACATTGGGGAGATTATGGAAGGGAATACCTTAAAGAAAAGATGCTTGAGGTGTGATCTGAAGGATAAATGAGAATTCACCAGATGACGAGGGGGAAAGGAAAGAACTTTTACAGGTAAAAGATGTTAACTGTGTAAAGTCACTGTAGCAAGAGTGGAGGCACATGGCCAGAAAGAGAAGAGCAAAGAGTGTGTAGTTTAAGCTGAAGCTAAGGCTAGACCATTTAGGATTTTGTATACATCCTAGTTTAATGATTTCTATTCCTGGAGTCTTGGTGTGGTGCTGCAGGTTAATGCACTGAACTACAAGGTCGGTTTGAACCACAAGGTTGGCAGTTCAAGCTCACCAGCTGCTCCTCAGAAACTACAGGTTCACTATAAGTCAGAATTGTCTCGACGGCACTAAACAACATACCTGGAGTAGGAGTTCTGATGTGCTGTAGGCTAAGCACTGGACTGCTAACTGAAAGGTCAGTAGTCCAAACCAAAGAGCTATTCCTCGGAAACCTTATACAGGGTCGCTGTAAGTCAGAACCAACTCTACGGCACTTAACAACAGCAATACCTAGAGTAAGAGGTTTTGAATAAATGGATATAGGAAGCAAACATAATGAAGTTTGTGTTTACAAAGTGGAAAAGGGAATGGGGAGAACAAGAGTGGATGCAGGGAGAAAATTCAGAGGTTATTCTAGCTGTCTAGGTAGCTTGTTATGGAGCTCTGGTAGTGTAGTGGTTACGAACTGGGCTGCTAACCTCAGGGTCAGCAGTTCGAAACTGCCAGCTGTTCTGCAGGAGAAAGATGAGGCTTTCTGCTCCCATAAAGATTTACAGCCTTGGAAACCCTTTACAGGATTGCTATGAGTTGGAACTGACTCCAAGGCACATAACCACCACCACCACCAGATAGCTTGTTAAGGAGCCCTGGTGGTGCTGTGGGTTAGGCTGCTAACCATAAGGTCAGTAGTTCAAACCCACCAGCTGCTCCTATAAAGCTTTACAATCTCAAAAACCCTATATAGGGTAGGAATTGACTCGATGATAGTGGGAGGGGGGGTGTTTGGCTAAGATAGCTTGTTGCTGTTGAGTTTGTTCTGACTCATCACCCTGTTTGTTGTTGTTAAGTGCCATCGAGTCAATTCCGACCCATAGTGACCCTGTATAGGCTTTCCAAGGAGTAGCTGGTAAACTTGAACCACCGACCTCGCAGTCAAATGGCTTTGCAATCAGATGCATTAGTCCAGTGCGCCACACCAGGACTCCCATAACCCAGAATAAACTGCCCCTTGGGGTATCCAAGGCTGTAAACTTTATGGAAGCAGACTGTTACATCTTTCTCCCATGGAGTAGTTGGTGTGTTAGAACCACTGACTTTTAGGTTAGCACCTGAGTACTTTACCACTGCACTGCCACCATGGCTCCTCAAACATCTACTAGGATGGTATTGGTAGGGATAGATAGAAATAGATGGATTTAAGAGGTATTTCATAGACAAGATCTATAGAAATGGTGATTTCTTAGATATGAGAGGGAGAAGCTATCAGGTAACTCCTAGGTTTCTGGTTTGTGTAATACTGTGCAGATGAATGCTCATTATAAAAAATTTGGAAAATATAGACAAGATATAAAAAAGAAAGTAAAAAGCACCTAGCTGTCAACCAAACATGGACGCTAAAACATTCTAGAACTTACTGTTTCCTAAAGTACTAATGGTAGTTTGATGGAAGATTTTTTTTTTCCCTATAAATATGTTAAAATTTTTACTATAAAAATTCCCTATAAATATGTTAAAATTTTTACTCTTTGGGATCTGGAAGAAATAAAAAATTATGTTTGTAACTCATTTGGTTTTAGCTACCTAGGAATGACAAGAGTGAAATTTATAAAATAAGTTGAAATAGAAGATATTCTGTCAAACTTTAGTGACTGTGTGGTACACTGTAGAATATTCAGTTCTTGCAAGGCCACTATAAAATTAACCTCAAATTATAATTTTCTTGTCTATAGATAAGACTGCTATCTACCACATTGATGCCCTTTTCATTTTTTCCCCCTGTTGATTTAAGAAATAATAATTCATTATATATTGTGTACATTTAAAAAAATACAATTCCTACTTGATTGACAAATATTTGTTGGCAGTTACTGTGAACTTGACATCTATAACTTTTCCCCCTTAGTAGTTTTTACATGAATATGCTGATAACTTTTTTCTTTTTATTAAGGATGGCTCTCAGTAAATCAATGCATGCAAGAAACAGATACAAGGACAAACCTCCCGACTTTGCATATCTGGCATCCAAATACTCAGATTTTAAGCAGCATGTTCAGATAAACCTGAATGGAAGAGTGAGGTAGGTGACATATGAAGAATGTTTGATACTGTACCATTCTAGTATAATCTGAATTGACACAGTATAGTGGATAGTGTGCTGGACTGAGTGTGTTGTTGTTGTCAGGTGCCATCGAGTCGGAACCGACTCATAGCGACTCCATGCACAGCAGAACGAAACAATGTTCGATCCTGGGCCAACCTCACCACCG